TTTCTCAGCACCTCGACGTCAATCGTACTTTTATATTTTTATAACCTTTTTTTGTTGAATCAATGAAAATTTGTTATACGTATACATGTTATAAATAACATAATAGGCAAATATTGAAAAACGCTAATGCATAGCATACTGATACGTTTTTATAAGTAATACATGACAGATCTGTCATAACAGTTAAAGGGATCATTTAGGTTTGTGTTTATAGTATAGATGCTTAAGTTGTAACTACCACCACCGGTAGCTAAAGCTTATATTGTAACTAGTTACGTCATAAGCCATAACAATTTCTACTGCATCGCTAGTTTAGAGACAATTTAAAATTTTGGTCTAATTTAAAAGAAAAAGCGACATTTTTTCAAAGATACGTTATTAAACATCAATTTTTAATAAAACAGATTACAAAAATATAATTAGCGTTATGATGATAAATTAACGTAGAATGGAAACAATACATATAAAGCTTTGCACCATATTCTATAATTGTATACTAATTTTTATACGTACTATAATAAAAATCAACATTATTACCAAAAAGAGACTATGCTGACACTTGACGTTAACATTAAAAAATGTATAAAATTGACAAAGTCATAATACAACTACTCCAGATACTCCATCTCGTTACATACTTGATGCGATTTCCGGAACCAGGCAGATCAGGAAGCACTGTTGGAATATCTGAACCCGTAATGGTATGTGGAGCTTGTTGTACATTGACTAAAGTCGATGGACCTGAAGGAGTTTCTTGTAGTGTTGGAAGATTAGTTATAGTTGAAGTGGTAGCTGATGTAACAACTGATGTAGAACTTGTAACGGAAGTTGAATAAAAAGTTGTAACAGCACGATTAGTTGCTGAAGATCCGGTCGTCGTAGTCGATATTGATGAAGCAATAGTAGTAGCGGAAACAAATGATAGTGATCTTTGTTGTCTCTTATTAAGTCTTTTAATATTATCATACTCTACGCGTTCAATACGTTTTTGAATCGATATCTTTTCAGATTTTACATTGTTATCGTATGCAATTATAGTGGTTGATAACGTAATCAATAATAAAAGAAATGTGAATGCGCTGGTAATCTTATAATGCATATTATTTATTATATTTATTATTATTTGTTGTTATTGCTGTGGTAGACGATTTTATGATTTTTTTTATGAAAACTTTTTTTTTCATGTAAATTAATATCTTTTTGTTCATTCAAAAACTATGAATAAAAATAAAAGATAGAATCAAAATTGGATAGAAATCGAAATTAATATATCTTCAAAGAGATCGTCTGTCCTTCGAGCGAAAGAAGCAATTAATGTTAAACGACATAAATTAGCATAAAGACAATTGGTGTGATTAATTTTTAGGGCCAAGGTTTCTATATGTAACAAATACATATTGTAAAAATACATATTGTGAATTTTCTATTAATTTTAATTTTATTATATTATCATCTAAAAAATAAATTTGTCCGGTCTTTAGGACCGATCTTTAAGACATGAACTAAGTGTATACAAGTGATTCTCGATATAAGAAAGGTGGTTGGGTCCATAGTAAAAATTTTACAAATCTTTCTTATATCAAGAGTTTATTAATAACTTTCTTATATCGAGTGGATTTATTATAGACTG